ACGGAACGCGACGACACGACACGAACAATTCGGACCACTCGGAATGAACTCTTGTTGAGGAATATGGCCTCCATACATTCAAGCAATTATAACTACTAATAAATTGTAAATTGATATAATTATTTATCTTTAAGATAAACTGAATGAAAGCTATTAAAATGATGTGCGCTCATAACACTTGAGAGGATGTGAAAGAAAGATACAAAATGAAAGTGAAAAAATCCAGTGAAACTCAAGTCGATACGAAACCATTTATCAGTATTATTTTTTCAAAATAAAGCATTACTTTCTCTATCTAAACGAAGCAGAGGTAAAGTGGACAAGTCTTAAGTCATTTTTAATTGTTATCAAATCAGTGGAGTTATTCAGGGTAAGCTCGTAATGGATTTTTGTCTAGCGTGAATGGTTTTTCTTTAGCGTGAATGCATGAAGTGTCGGTATATGCCTTATATATTTCTGATAAGGAAAGCCGCGATAGTGTTGATCAGTATTGGAGGCCCATTGTCCTTTTCCTGCTATTTTCAAGCACTTTGTTGTTTACTCGGCTTTTTTAAAAGAATTAATTTGTCCTAATTTCGAATTAAACAAGGTAAGAGACGTGATTATTTTCAACGACACACAGCAATTCAAGGAGTTGGAAGTATTTAATTATAGCGGAAAATGCACATTATGTCGCAAAAAGACTTCGCAAGTAGACTAGTCCAAAAGGTTTGAAAAACGTAATTTCAATATTCAAGTGATTTTACCCGTATATTGTTCCGAGATAGAACCGAGGCGTCAGCTCTCCATAATTCACACTATTTATGAATAAAAATGAGGTGATATTTTTAGTCAAAAGCCCGGAGAGCTTTTTTTTTTTTTTTTTTTTTCATATCTCCTTCTGCCCTATGCTTTATGGAGAGATCATTAAATGAAATCAAAAAACAATTAAACAGAATCAAGAAGCCATCTTCTATTAACCTTACTCGCTCCAATACTTAGCTTACTAGTGACGTGATAACTGATTATGCAGGAGAAATGTTTGTAATAGTTTGTAACAGTTCCCTGCGCCATCTTGAAAGGTAACCGTGCCTTTGCATCGAAGCGACACGAATGGTGAGGCTGCGAAGATAGAGTATAGGGGCCATTTTTTACCAGGAACTGTGTAGGGGACTATTGGGAGGAAAAAAATTTTGCGCACCTTATTGAAGGCATGTACACGCAAGGAAACTTAGTTTTACATATATATACATATATTTTATTGAACCGCCCCATAAGGCTTTTCAGGCGGCCATTCTTTAAGAAATAATTAATATTTAATTTGAGTTATAAGGAAATCTGTTATTCAAATAATACTTTGTATTTATACGAACGCAAAAATTTGCAGATCTGCGGGCAAAACACAATCATACAATAAACGTTTCATCCGCCGCAAGCGCTCAAAAATATATTTGTCTTAAGTGGTTTCCGTCGCCCCTAACATGAAAATCTCAACATTATAAGAGCACATTCTYATATTTTTGCTCGCTTTGTGTTATTTTCAAGTGCTACACGCGACAAGGACGTCCGTATTTTATTAGCAGGAAGTGATAATCTTTCTAGGTCTTCCTTTTCGACCTCACGCAGAGGACCAACGCAATCTGAGCAGGCAATTAACTATACAATTAGACAATCTATACAGAAAGATCAAAAGTAGGAAGGAAATATTTTGTGCACTCTTAAGTAAACAAATACTCAGAAGCAAACTTAAAAATACTGTTTAATAATAGAACTTGCAATCGCGCAAAATCCGTTTTCGGGTGTCGATAATAGAAATACAGCAAACATTCCGTCCGTCCGCCGCAAGCGATCAAAAAATGCAATATTTCAAGTGGTTTCATCCTTATGAAACTCAACATCTAGGAGCGCAGTATTTTTATTCGGTTCATGTTATGTTCAAGTGCTGTACGCGACAAAGACGTCCGTAGTTTCAATAGTAGGAAGTGATTCTCTTTCTGGTTCTTCTTTGTGACATCACGGTTATTCGGTTTATGTTATGTTCAAGTGCTGTACGGACAAAGACGTCCGTACTTTCAATAGCAAGAAGTGATTCTCTTTCTGGTTCTTCTTTGTGACATCACGAAGAGGAGGTAAGGAATCTAACCGGCGGCGATTAATTAATTACTGACGTCAAGTACTGATTTTCTAAACAAGAATATCGAAATTAATTCGGTTGTTACAACATCTTTTAAGAGTCAAAGCAACTAGAGCGAGGTCGCACCTGGCAACACAAGGCATGCTCAGTACTAATTGTTCTACTTTYTGATGTATATTACTCATTCCAGGGAACAGCTGGGTCGAGTTGGCATTGCAGTGCATTATGGGGATGTTCTACAATGATAGACGCTTGTAAATTAGTCTCCTAAAACAGTCCCACAATACACTGTAATGCCAGCTTTTTCCTCARCCTCTGCACGTCATTGCATTGCTACTATACACCGTATGGAAATAATGACCAATTTAAATAAATATGGTTCTGGACTGGTTAGCCTCTCTTACGCTTGAAAACATTGTTTGCTTTTCAGGCTACTCAGTCCAGAATAGTTATTCAAATTGGTCGCCATACTTCGGTCTTATAGGGGTACCGAAGTTTTAACGTCATAAATTATATTTTAGAACTTAAGGATTTTGGTGACATTCGTCAGAAATTGCATGTAAAAATATTATATAGTGTTAGTGTTAGTGTTAGCGATAGAGTACGGTGGCTTGTAAGGGACATAGTAATTTTTGTGGGTTTTTTTTATTGCAAATCCCTGAATCCCAGGAACTAAAATCCCAGGATACCAGAATCCCAGAATCCAGACTCCTCCAACGCATCCAAAATGCCAGATTGCTTCGGTGGTCACCCTGTGTGTTTATGCGGTCAATCATGTGGCCTACATGCACAAGTGATAAGGGAATTTATGGAAGTTATTTTGAAGATATGACAATAATATGTTTCACTCAACAAATTGCTTCAAAACTTGCTGCAGTCGTGATACCAAACTAAAGATAAAACATGGAAGAGTCAAATGTTCAACTTCAAGCAAGGATTTGTTTTGGAAATATTTGGCGTTTTGGCATTCTGAATGAATATAATAATAAATAGTCATTCCTTTGATATGTTGCATTTTTATTGCAGTTCAAATGGTAGAGTGGAATGTTTTTGGGATTTCCTAGAGCGTATAATGTGAACGATATGGTGCTAAGCCTCTTCCCTGCTAGCAGAGTCTCTCTTCTCTTTCTCTCCCTTCTTTCAGGTGGGGATGAAGGAGACTCTGCCGATGTAGAGTGTTTCCTTTGATACACCGCCGCCCACAATCGTGGACGAACAAAACCAGTTTTAAAACCGTTTTTTAGCCGATTACATGTAGTGCGCATGAGCAAATGTAACACACTGTGGCGCCAAACGTTGTTTGACGAGAGCGGCTGTCAAAATCATGACAGCGTTGCTAAGTTACGCCACGCATGCGCGACAGAAATAACGTCCTACATCGGCAGAGCCTATTTTTCTCTCTCAACCAAAACAAAAGGAAAATAGGCTCTGCTAGCAGGGAACTAAGCCTCCAACCGTTCTTGTGTTGGGAAAAAACACTAAACCTCAAACATCGTGCTGAAACTTCGCCAGAAGACTAAACGAGATTAARCAACGACTGCGGCAACTTGAAGTTTTGAAGCAAATTTTATTGTTGAGTGAAACATTTTATTGTCATACATCTAAGTCCAAAATGGCGCACGGCCGAGTGTGTCACATGAAAACGAGGCATCCAGGGCCAAAATGCAAAGAAACAACATGGTGTCAATGCAAAGTATTGTTTACTTATTCTGTCTTCCTTTTCTTCTTACATTCAGGAACGCGACAATTTTGCAGCATCAAATTATAAGAAAATACTGTAAATTTGGCCCTGGATGCCTCCTTTTCAACCGGCCGTGCGCCATTTTGGATTTAGGTGTATATTTCATCATAACTTCCATACAGTTCCATGTGTTTTTGCATGCTGTAGGCATCTCGTCTTAGACCATCATTGAGCGCATAAACACACAGGGTGAACAGCGCAGAATTCGTGGGGGAACCTTACATGTGAGAATCCCAGATTCCCAATATCTAAGAATAGGACGTTTGCATGATGGCGTCATTTGACTCCCACTACCAATATGCTTTGCGAATTTTCTTTCTTGTTTAAATTTGTATTCCCTCATGAGAATAGTAAGACAATTGGTACTGATTAACTTAACAAAAGAAAGTGTGCAAGGGAGTCTGGTAGTAGAGGTCAATGACGCCATCGTTCAAACGTCCTATTCCATATGCCAGATTGCTGCGATGGTCACCCTGTGCGTTAATGCATTCAATGATGGTCTACGACCAGATAGATGCCTACAGCATGCACAAAGACATGGAAATGTATGGGTTATGATTTGAGGTTGGTTAGTGTTGGTTTATTTTCGAAAATGAGCTCTTCTCTACCTTAGTAATGGGAAGGCTGAAACACAGTAGCTTATATTCTTTGCTAATAAATCAAACTTCTCTTACACAAAAATTAACACACGAGAATCAAAATGGCTAAAAAATGTCATTGCGTTAAGAACAATATTGCTTYGTTAGTCCTAGATTGAGGTGGAAATAGGGTAGTCGACATTGAAGTGCATTTTGTGGTTGTTTTAGGGGACAGAATAGATGCCACCTTGGAAATCAAAGTCTGATTTGAAATTTACAAGTCTCTTATTTGACTTCTGTTAGTTTTAAAACACGCTTGTAATTAAACCTTGAAAAAATAAAATAAAATGAATAAAAAAAACATAAAAAATGAAAAGAATATTCCAATCTTGAAAGGAATGCACAGGGTGGTATGACTGTGAGCAATAAAATAGCTTTTCTATGCTACATTAGGTAAAACAGAAGGCAAGAAATAACTATGAAGGGCTAAGATTATAAGCCGTAGTCTTTTTGAATGGATTGTTCCCCCCTCCCCCCTGTTTTATTATATTTAATTAACTAAAACAAATTCAGTGGTGGATGTTTGATTTTATTTATATTGTTTGCAATAATACATTACAAACTAATATAAGCGCTGAGGTTTACCCATGGTACTCTTGATGTACAGAGCACGCACATTTTGCCAATTCTTCTTCAGAAGTGAGACAAGGAAGTTGATGGCAAGATTGACATTGCCTGCAAGTTCTTCATCAGACATTTCAACATGTCCAACTGCAACATTGAGACACAGCACCTATAAAATAACCAAAAGGTTTAGAACAGAGTATGGGGTTTGGGTAGACAAAAAACAAATACCAGGATAATGGTGGCTTTCACATGCATAGCAAAAATGGCCATACCAAATAATTCTTCTATAAGTTAAATYCATAAATAGATTTCAAAATGCCAAGTCTCAGCGAGTTTTGGTAAAAAATAAAAATAAAAGGATTATCCACACATATTAATCACTTTCTGATAAATTCTACAATCGGATGYGGTTGGAAATTTTTATTCCATTTATTTTTTTCAGTATCATTTTGTAAGGCAAAAGAAGTGTCCTGTTCATTTGTTTTAATGACATACTCACATGATTGTTACTGGATGGCAAAAAAATAATTTTTGATGGATTACAAATGTCATATCTAAAGCTTTTTTTAAAAATATTTTTTCCTTTATAATATAACTTTCAAGTTTAAGATACAAAGCATTTTAAAGTTTGCCATCCAACAGATCCTTCCCCAAGGGACCTTTGGCGAATTAGATCGTTTATCAAAGCAATATATCAGTATGTTTGTTGAAAATGAACTATTGAGTCCTCATATTTTTACTGAGGGTGTGTRGAGGGGGCTGCATTGCAACCATTTACCTAGTTTCACAATAAATAAAAACAAGGCCCTGCTATGCAATCATTAAACGCAACCATCAACCAATACACCCCCTATAAAACTGGATGTTACCTGTACAACCTGCTTAATGCAAGGTATGCTTCGGACTAAGCCCCGTAAAGTGGGACAGCCTCCCCAAAGATTTAAGACCCTGGGTAGGGGTCCGATCAGCAAGTCCTTGTAAGACATAACTGATCTCCCAGAAAATAAGGCCTTATCAGTGTCTCAAGATTAGATTTCATGCTCCCAAAACATTGGGTTAGAAAAAGCAATAGGAATCAATCCTTTACTCAAAGTAAAAGAACAATGATGATGATACTTTAGTTTTGTCCTTAAGTTTAGACCCTTGATACACTGTGCCTCATTTCTGGTAGTTCTCCTACCTTCTTCATTTGAAATTTGATGGTAGATCGCACATCCTCAACCTTCTGTACCATGTTTTCACCATGTGTGATGGGAGTTGGAAACTTGCCAGCCTTGTTAAGRCCAGGTCCAAGAATACGAGGAATCTGTCTGATCAAGCTCTCAGATGCAAGGAAAGCGTCATATTTCTTGGCTAGTAATATATAAAATGTAAAACATTGTATAAGTATAACACAAACAATAKTTCCATCCAGCTAAAATAATAAATAATATGGAAGTGGATATACTTGATGCCTAAAACAAGTGCATATATATATAGAACAATAAATTCAATGAGACTTAAATTGTCTTTATAATTCGACATTTACTATTTTTCAATTATTGTGTGTGTGGATGGGGAGAATATTAACCCCTTGACTTGACTTGAAGGTCCAAACTCATTATTCTGCCTGGGTTCCTAGAGCTATTCAGAAAGTTGACCAAAATTGTGCTCACAATCAATTATGTGAAGTTTCTGGATTTTGATTGAATAATACCTCAAGTATGACAACTGAATAATGGGTTACAGTAGGGTATTTTCTCTGGTGGACACAGGCTGATGAAAAATAATGATAATTTTCGGCCTGTTTTGGCCAGCTCTGGAAAATCAGCAGATTTCGTAATGGCCTGATTTGGTCTTTTTAGTAGTCAAAGGGTTAACAGTCAGTACAACCTAAATTGTCTTTTTACTTACCCAATTTTTTCACCATCTTCTTGTTCTTGTTTAATTTTTTCAATGCCTCTACATCCATACAAGGAATGCCATTAGCATTAGCCTCATCACAATGTGACGCATCTCCAAATACACACACTTTCATGTGTGGACGTGGGATCTTTTTTAGCTTGACAGTACCACTGAAACGTTTGTCCTTCTGGGGATCATAGTTCTTTAGAGCGATCTGGAGCTCTACTGTTTCCGTAAACTTGCGTTTTTTGTCTTTGGATCCTTGAAGGACCGCACCAACTGATTCGTAGAGGGTATCACGAGTGACTTTACTAAACGTAAAAAATTAAAACTAATTAAAACTTTGGAWTTTTTACAAATAAGCCTTACGAACACTCTTTTCGTCCCTAACGAGCTGAGGTACTTCAGGTAAATATCTTTCTTGAATATATTTTGGGCTACCGAAGGTTATCGATATTTCAAAAACAACTGCTTGGCTGATGGCACAGGTAAATCACAGATTGAGTTTGAATTAAGCAAGTTAGGTTTTATAGAAAGGAAGCCCGGAGAAAACCCTTAACATTGAGGAATAGCCCGACAAATTCTACCCACATGTGATATGGCGAATGGGTCAAACTAGCCTAAAAATAATGTTTTCAGCTCTTTAAAACGTATTGAGACATCCTTTTTTAATATTTGGAATTTTCAAATAAAAATATCCATTATACTTCAAAGCATACTTTGCAATTCGAACGAATAAATAGGATTGCACAATAGCGTTTACGATATCCAAACTTTAGTTTGCAGTTTTGGATAATTTCCGACGCTATTCTTTAAGAAATTTTCTTAGGGAAGACTTAAGGGGTATTTTAAGAACACATTTATTTTGTCTTGGTATAGTACGTCTATAGGATCGCTAAGATACAAGAAGATTTTAAAAGCTTTTAAACAACCAACCTCATCTTGTCGGCTTCTAGAGGGCAAAAGAGAGCGAGGGAAATCTAGAGCAGCCTCTAATGGGAAACACCGCTGGACGAAAACCGGCGACTCTCAAACAGGGTTCCCAATCCGGTAAAAACTACATCGCCGAGTTTTTTTTCCAAGCAAGTAGGCGTTGATCGTCAAAACAAAAACCCATTTCTCCCATTTTACTCGATTTTCTTTTTTAGGTTTAATGCATGGGGAGGTAAAGGAGAACATTAATTGTGACAAAAAATTCTCGCATTCTTGAGTGAAGTGAAAAGAAAACAAAAGAAAAATCAAGTTTTCAATTTTCATTTTATTCATAATATTTCCAATTTTACTTGATTAAGATATTTTCTTTGCTGAGACCTCAAAAGATTAAGTTAAATTCGTCATGATACGATAGTACTGATAAGGTTGAATTCCTTTTTAAAAACAAAGTTTCACGCCCTTCACTGGTCGTCTCACTTAATTAAATCGTTTTAAGTGCGTGAAAGATGTTTWAAAAAAAGGAATTTAACCTTATCAATACTATCATGACGAATTCAATTTTATTGAATAATGCGTAAAAGGTAAAAGGTAATTAGTTTTTATGGTTAATTCGGATATTTGTGAGTCTCAWTCGAAAAAAATGGTAGATGTTTTGATTTTGGGCTCCTCCCCTCGGAATAAAATAAATAAAATAAATCACTTTAAGTGTCTAGTCATTCTAGCACTTTCGCACTAATTGGGGACACTTTTCGCTCACACGCACTACCACTACATTTAATATTCTATTCACACAACTCTCAACTCACATGATGATTTTTACGGAGGGAGGAAACCGCGGAGAACCCGGAGAAAATCCTCGTAGTATAGGAGAGAACAACACATCAAGCAAACTCAATTCACCGCAGGGCTCGAACCAGCGACCCGACACTTTGGACTCACAGCGGTGAAAGACRACGCGAACGCCACCCACTCATGCTACCCTACATTAATATTTGGTATTTTCATCACTTAATTATATATCTGTACTTCTTACTTCTTACCTTTTTGCTGCTCATGGGATTAGATACTATATCCCGGCATAATAGGCAATGTGCACGAGCACGAATCTTTAGCACAAAGCATGATGGGAAACCGAGTACTACACTACTTCAGTACACGGAAATCTATAGAATTATAAGGAAGAAATGCTGTTATTTTTTCAAACGAGCCATGGACTAAACATTTGCACTAGATTTTATTTCACACAAACATGTGTCAAATTTTGTCATATACAAAAATATTAGTATATCTATGTTATGTACAATGTTGCTATCTGGTACAATTAAGTTGATCCGTGAAGACAATGAAATATAATTTTTTATTGCACATTTAGGGCCGATATCAGTGTGAAAAAGCCTTGAATAAAAACCATATCAGTGAAGTTATACGATATGACTTCACGGTAAACTGGAAATTTTGTCATTTTATCGACCCTAAATGTGCACGCACTAGTTAGTATTTGTTTCGCGGGTTTAGTGCGTGCACTCTAAACAAATGATGTATTACATGTTAAGAGCTTGATATCTTTTTTATTCACTCGTTTTCCATATGATATCACTCACTTGTTCGCAGACTCTCTTACTTCCATAATCGTATGGAAACTCGTGAATAAAAACGATATCAAGCTCTTAACATGTGATAATCTCTATATATCTAGTTAAAAGACCTTTTTGAAGTATTAAAAATATTAGTATAAATATAATAATCCCTTTTGGGTCTATCTGCTTCTAACATAAGGAAGGAAACTATGAAAACCTGTACTCATAATCTGTTGCGTCCTTCGAGATATAACTTTTTTAATTTAATATATGGCACATGAAAGAGTAAAATATGTATCATTTCCATGAAGGCTCCTAGAATGAAACCTACAGGACACTTATAATATGGCTATCCTTAACATTTCAGTATATTAAGAAAATAGAGTTGCATTTTCTATTCACTAAATCCTGTTATTCTCTCCTTCATATAAGAAATAAATAAAATACTTCTTAATAATTCCTTTCTTTAAAGAGCGACTTATGCAAGTTCCCCTTTTGAGAAAAGCCTGTACACAGACTTCTAGAGAGTTAATAAAAGGGAGATCAAAAATATTCAGGGCATTTTTTGCATGGGACATGTTGAGTATATGGAAATACTTCACTAAAGAAGGTTTTCCTCAAATGATTGGAAATGGGACAACATTGATGAACTGGTCATTATTCAAAGGGATAAGGACTTGGTCTTCCAACCAAAAGGTTGCAAATACATACAATCAATTGTAACATCATTGTCAGGTTTTGAAAACAAGTAACAAAAGCCGAGACCAAAACAGTACGTTAATTAAACGTATCTAGTGATAAAACTCTTGTAATATCCATAAACTGTTGCACTTAGAGAAAAGCATGGGATACTTTAATACGTTTCATATTGACTGTGTATCTAAAACGAATCAGTACCTCAGAGGATTTTTATTCCCCAGAATACTTTACGGTCTCAGCTCTCTTATGTTTTGAACCCGACGATGATTTTGCAATTGAGCGTATATCATTRTATTAAACAATTTACACTAACGCACCAAACAGCAGGAATAAAGCACTCCAATATTATCAAGAAGACGAAGYTTTAGTTCATAACATGTGACAGTAGAGAAATGGCATTAACACAAAATTCAATATCTTATAAGAAATTGTGTAAAAAGTGCTTGTTAGATAGTCAACATTATAAACTGAAACTCTGCCTGTTCACTATATGCTSACTTAATTAACACCTATAACGGTATTCATTTTGACACACAACTGCAACTGGATTACATAACTTATTAAATGTAAATGGCCTATAATRCCCTGTATAGGCACAACATGTTTTGCCCCAGCCATGGTGGTTATTTACTAAAATGAACATATAGCTCTTCCTCTTTCTTTATCTACGTTTTATAACTCCAAGTATTTGAAGATAAAAGGTCATGCTTTACAGCCCCTATTTTTAAACTAGTTTAGGTCTATTTCTAGCAGTTTGATTCGAGTGGATGGCAAAGTCTAGCTACAGAGTTTTCCATGGTCATCCTGTGTCCTAGACTTTTTATACCCAGCTCCTGTAGTTCTACTTTTGTGAGCTCAGGAAGATGAGCTCCTTGAATGTCATTCTCTCTGAAGGTCTCCTTGTACTGAGATAAGTTAAGAGATTCTAACCAATCACAAACATCATCACAGGTCCATTCTAGCAATGGTTTGTCTTCAAAGGAGCATCTGTTAAATCAGTTATTAGGACAAATTAATAAAGCAATAAAGGGAATAGGCGTACTTTGATGTTTTTCCAATTCAGACCACGTGTCATTCCCTAGAGCATCATTACTTTTTTTAACGGTTGCGCATGACAAAACACATGATAATCAATACCGACAAAGTATCTTATTCTCAGTAGAATGACATGTGATCTGAAACGAGAAAATACTACATTCAAGCTGAAAGGGTATATTGACTACTGACATTCTTCTCAATTTCCTTCAAACTAATCGTTATATTAAAGCAGACTACTGCTCTGTGACTGTAAAAACCTCATACTCGACAGCCTATGGACAGTATCATGTTTGAGTATTCTGATTGGGTAACAGTCATATGGGTGGAGAATTTTTTTTTTTTTTTTTTTTTTTTTTTGTTTTTTTTTTTTATTCACAAAACTAGCGCTTAGAGCAGTTTTAATAATTGGGAATTTAGTTTTTACATAATTGGGAAAGGCATGGTACTACTTAAAACCACAATTCATCTTCAAGTACATTAAATAATCATTAGCACGTAGTTACGGCTACAAACCACTACGAATAATTTGATATATTATTTCTAACCGATATAAAAACTGCTCTATATATTGAGCCAAATAATGGGAACGTAATGTCATTAACGATCTACTAACATATATTTTGCTAGCTGGTAAATACTGTTATACTGAGTAAAATGGAATCACCTAGTGGAAATGAAAAAAATGAGACAAAAAATCAGGTAACACAACCAATCAGTGCGTGAAAATGCTCTATTATCTTACTCACCCTGTGGCTGGTTCATCAAATCCTGAAGGTGCATCAACGATTGAACCATGGTCAGCATCGTTGTCGCAGAAGTCCATAGGGGGAGCAGGTAAGGGACTGAAGACTTCAGTACTGTCGTTCATAGGAGAGAATTCAGGCGGTGGTGGGAGTGGTGGTGAAGACAATTCGTCAAATGTTTCGCCATGAAAGTCAAGAGGTGGAGGTGGAATGAACTCGGTTGATATGTCATTTGGGTAATCCTGGTTTGAAGTTTCAATAGTGTTCGTTATCTGAGGTGGTGGATCTGAGTTAGTGGACTGCGCATCGGGTTGCGATGTTRAGGGATTTCTTTTTGGTTGCAACCGTATCTTGATCTGCACACCTGTTGATGTCGTGAATATCTGCTCTACTAAGCCATCGGTATTATCTGTCGTGCATTCTGTTTCTGGTTTTTCATCCGAAACATTAGTAGTAATTGGTGAAATATCCACTTTATTAATGTCTGTTTTARTTATATCACTTTTCTGAGACTGTTCGGGTTTCTGCCCCTCTACAGTATCTCCAACATATGACGTTTTTCTAGGGCTGTCAGTAGAGTCTTTYGATTTCACGACCCCAGTGTCCTCTGAACTTAAATTCGGTTGAGAAAAAGCTTGTACGATAGAATTGAAATGAATATCGCTATCACTTGCGGTTGTTTTGACTTGTGAATAACTTTTACCATTTAACGTCGCATTTTCATCGCCGTTAGAAAATCGACGCCGGCGCTCATCAGCGATCTTCTCGCTATCGAAATTTTTAGGTACTTCGGTAGTCTGCAATTCCTGTGAAAGGCTTGGTCTCACCTGAGATATTCTCTCAGTACTAGCATTCAAGCTATCTTCAGAAGGAGACCCCGAACTATATTCATACCACGCCCTTGTAGAGTTCCCTATACTAGATTTCCGTTCATCGTAACCATTTCCAGGAAATGACGGAGGGACAATAATATCAGCTGCTGTACTTGAGTCACTGCTATTCCAGGAATTGAGACTCCAGCTTTCGCTCTCAACCTCTTTACGAAGAACATCATCAAACATCATCATTGTACGGTCTTCTTCGGTAGCAAATGACGAGAGTCTTTCTGGACTTAACTCGTTAATATATGTTGGGTAGAGCTTTCGTTTGGTAGGGCTATCCATATCAGATTTAGCAAACATTGGTCTATGACCTGGTGTAGGGCTTTTTTTCTTAGGGGGGACGGGTGGGGGTGTTTTCTTTGGTGTGACAGGACGTTGTTTCTGCAGAATGGTATTATAAGGGATATTTGGACTTTGCGATTCATCTTCCCATGACGACGGTGACTCTGAGTGTTCAGATTCGTGAGCTTCGTTTGCTAATCTTGCTGCCCGAGCAGCAACTGCTTTGGCTAACATATTAGAATGCTGGTTTAACATGGGCGTTGGCTTTCCCCCATGACTTGCTAATTTTCCAACTAAATCATGAATAGATTTCGAGCTTTTGGGGGTTTCCGAGACGGTCRTCTTCACCGCCTTTAGTTTCCCCTTCTTTGCCTGTAGTGCGTCTACAGTGACCAGTCCTTGTCGTACCGCAGTTAATGGTACATCTGGTTTCTTCCCTTTAATCTGTCTGGTTGGTAGAACAGGTTTTGGAGGCAGTGGTATAGGTGCTGCTGGTGGTGGTGGTGGCGGTGGTGCAGAAGGCTTGGGTAATACAGGTGGCTTACTTGTTTTTGGATCCCTGATTTCTATAGCAGATTTCGGCCTTTCCAAGGATTTTTGCCTAAGAAATCCAGGTCGAAGTGTTATTGATTCGTTACTATAAGAACGATTCAAAGAAGAATAATCGTCATTTTCCGATGATAATATAGTGGGGTGAGAAGAGTACGGCTCTTTTGCAACCGCACTCAGTTCAGTGCTGTGTATTTGTGTCAACATATCAGATCGAAACCTATCGTTAGTGTTTGTTCGTTTACGAGTCGCCACAGCTGCTGGAGCGCTGCTTTTTCGATTGTTCTCATTCAGTTCCAAAGCATTTGCGTTCGCTCCTTGTTCATTCATCCGTTCATTTCGAGCCTCAACAGCCTTTTGTAAAGCATTCGATAAATTAAAAGGTTCCGAGGTTTTTGATCCAAGAATGTGCTTCCTTTCTCTAGTAAATCCATCATTCATTTGATTTCCACTGTTATTAGTATCAMGAACAGGCGTTACTACCACACTAGGTTGAGACTCCTGATCCACAGTCATACTAACAGGCGTGGCTACTAAAGTAGCTTCCTGACTAACAATATCAGCACTACCGAAATTTGTAGCACTCGAGTCCATGATGTAGTCTGTTTGATCACGTGGGTCATTCATTGACAATGATCGTTGTAATTTATGTATACCAAGGTTTGGATCYGAATGGCTATGGGCATCCATCCGTCTTGAGAGGGATCCCACATCCTGTGACACGGAACGGGAATATCTCTCAGGGGGAACTTGTGGAATTGGGAACGGGACAGCAGTACTGACCGGTCTCTTACTCATTGTGTCATACGAAGGCTGTAAAGATGCTATATTCTGCATCGACTTTGACCTTTGAGCTGAAGAAATCGGAAGATTTGTATTTCGAGATGTTGGTCTTACTCCGCCATTGAATTTGAACTGCGCAGCTGAGCGCGCGTTAGAAGCTCCTGGTTTCTGTCGCTGTAAAGTRTACCACCGGGAGTCCTTGGATACTGTGATTACGCTGTCAACTTTTGCTGGTTCCTCATAACTGTGAGCCAGGCCTGCTTCTGTGGACAGAATCGGTGAACATTCATGTAAAAAATAATAAAATAATAATTAAATAAAATAATAAT